AATGCAACTTTAAAATCGTGAATGTAGGGTTGAAATTTCAATAGTGGCGTGTTATCTCGGTTACGGGGTGTGCCTTTAGCCAAACACCACTTTAGCGGTCGTCTACAGAGAGTAGAAAACTAAATGTATGGGGGTGACACTGACAAGTGTCAAAATTTACGTCAATTCCATATAATTTGGTTTTCTATTCTACATGTAGACAAATGCTAAATGGCATTTGGCTACAGCTCCTGCTGGCAAACGGACACCTGCAACAAACAGGAGGTATCACGAGTGTGCAGCCGACCATGTTGGTAAATGGTAATTCTTTTGGGAGCTCTTCTTTTTGAAATATATGAAATTATACAGGAGATTCTCATCATGTATCCCATATTTAGTTACTTCAAAATTACCTCTGAAATAGAAAATTCGTAATAATTTCAGGGAAAAACGTACAAAATAAATACTTATTAAATTGTTGACAAATTAAAAACTTTATTCAAACGTGAATTCCGATGTTTCTGATAATAAAATTGTTATAAAATGCATATTATCTTATCAGAACAATTATTGTGATCACTATCTCAATATACGATTTCATTTTTCAATAAGATTGTTGCTTGACGGTACGTAGTTATTTCAGAATCGACATGAAGTAGTTATTCAATTCATCATCAGAATATCAGCTATAAGACGCCCACTGCCTTACACGGACTGCGCCCTAGGCAAGCACCTCGCCGTGGAGAACCTAACGGGTAACCGGGGCTCCGGCTCGACGTGCAGGAGAAGGAACGGGGTGGTTTTTAGTCAGTAAGAGTCTGACACTCCCTCCCGCCTCACCCAGGCGGGAGCAGTAATTCGATGATTTTCCCCCCTTAAAAAAAAGGCAAGCACCTCATGGGCGCCTCTAATAATTTTTTCATCCATGGATGGGCGTGCGCAGTCGTGGCGATGTCACACAGCCTACCGAGCTCACGAGGAAGAGCCCCTCTGTGGCTCGAAACTAGTAGAGCTCTTCTCAATATATTCACTTTTTAACAATTAAGTATATCTCACGATAGTTATTATAAAAATTAATAATCCCTTGATCAATTAGAAAATTTGTTAATTGCAAACAATGCATTCGTCAATTAATGTTTGATAGATAGGACGGACAAGATAAGATAACATAGTTTACACGTCATTGGCGCCATTTGTTATTCACACGCATAATCATCATAAATAAATAGGCTCATCCCTTATTACGTTACTTAGAGGATGCATAACTAATAAAAAGTAGTTGTTGTTACATTTAAACGCAGTCTGCCTACCCCTTCATGTATAAAAACACATTAATATTCCTTTCTACTATAATGTACCAGGCTACCAGAATAGTACAAGGGATAGAACTTAAGATAGATATAACTTCATTCACAGAAATAATAATATAGACTCATTGCACATTTCATTGTACTCAAAACTTGTGGAAAGAGGGGTGTCTGCGTACCCCTTTAAAGCACGGTACTATTCCTATTTAAGAAAAAAGTACCAGGCTACCAGAATACCATAAGATAGAAGTAAACATAGATAACTGAAGCTACAGATATAATAATTTAATAGGGTAGGTAACTCCACAGTCCACATCCGACTCAAAACTTGGGGAAAGAGAGGTGTCTGTTTACCCTATCGAGGATTAAACACACCTCTATTTACCGAAAAATGTACCAGGCTACCAGAATAGCATTAAGGGATAGAACTTAAGATAGATATAGATACACAAAAAAGTTTTATCCCTATTGCATTGGATATTCAAAGTTTCTGCCTACCCCTTCGAGGAATAAAACATGCTGCTATTCCTCTTTACTAAAAAAAAGTACCAGGCTACCAGAATAGCATAAGGGATAGAAATAAATATAACCAACAGAAAACAGGTAGCGACAGGTTGTTCATCCAAACCTGTTTACAACAACACGGAAATAAGATCGGTCTGTACAGTCAGATACGATGGTAGGTTTACGGCGTTTTTAGTCCTAGAGGAGGTAGGCAGAGGTGTTTAGTTGGTCCCATTTTTGATATTCCTAAACTCCTTATTGGATGTTTCTGGACCGATACTTCGATTAGACAAAGTATCTTTTACTGAATTTTCAAGATAGTTTTTAGTAGTGGACTTGCTATTATTTTGGGATAGGACGGCTCCTAAAAATGTTAGGGTAATATAAGTACTACGGTTGACAACCCGCTCGTAATACCTCTGGTGTTCTAGGCTACGGTGTCTGCTTACCATCAAGCGATTCCTAATCTTTGTTGCTACCAGTTGTTAATAGATTTTCTTCATCCTCATATCAGCCACGCGTTCAATGCTGAACATAGGTCTCCCCCAATGACTTCATGATAAGCTGATTGGAAGCGACCTGCAACCAGAGGCTCCCTGCTAGCTTAGAACTGTGCTTCGCTTCTGTAGATTAAGGGCGAATCTCAATAACTCCTCTATCGGTAGACTTGCTTACTAAAGACCTATAGGTCTACAAAAAATGTCCCAAAATCGTATGTCGTATGTATATCGTATGTCCCAAAATCGTAGTTAGAAAACTCCCCCTTATTCTTAAAAAGCGAAGCCACAATTCTATGTTAGTTAGTGTTCCAATTAAAGGTCCTATAATAAAACTGGGTTTAACCAGTTTATCTAGGTCTTACACGTCTTGGTGCTAAAAGGATATTATTTATTTGGCTTAGTTATTGAATTGAATTGGCCTCAACCATTTAACGACAGTCTTGTCTGAATGTGTGTTTATTTGTTTATAAATAGCTATACCCGCGCGTTGTCACCCGCTACTCGGCTCCCTTTCATCGTAGCGTGACGTTTTCTAGTCTATAGCCTTTCTCGAGAAATCTAACAACTAGTTCAAAAAAAAATATTCCATTTGACCCAGTAATTCCGGAGCTTATTAGCAGTATAGATATATTAGCAGTTACTCATGTCCCTGGCACGCGCCGGACTTCAGTGTTCCGGTGTTTTCATGGTTGTATCTACTGTAGATCCTGGCTTACAGGAGTTGCAGCGGTTTTGGGAGGTTGTGGCGGGCTTGTCCCATTAAAAAAAGTATAGATATATTTGACTGTTACATACTTTCATGGTGGCCCGGAGGTTTAAGACGCCCGCTTCTCATGCATGAGGGTTGGAAACCTACCAACGGCAAGGACCAATGTGACTTTTTCAGAGTTATATGTACCTTCTAAAATTATTTAGACACCACTGACAAACGGTGAAGGAAAATATTGTGAGGAAACCTGGGCTTATAATTTCTAATTATAAGTTTGTAATCGCAAACCCGCATTGAGCAAGCGTGGTGATTAATGTTCAAACCTTCTCCGTGTGAGAAGAGGCTTTACTCAGCAGTGGGCACTTATTAGGCTGTTGATCATGATGATGACATACTTTCATGGGGCTCATAACATACTGAAGAAAAATGAATGTCACATTTGGATTAAGATGGAGCTGTTCATGGAACGATCCAGTTATTTTTGATAAGGGATCGGTTGTTGATTTCGGTCGTAAGTTAACAATTAAGTACTTGTACAAAATTACTATAAATCTAACTGCACGGTCGGCGCGGTGGCTGGGAAACTGGCTGCCGCGCAACGTGTCGCGGATTCGATTCCCGCACGGAACAACTCTTTGTGTGATCCACAGATTGTTGTTCCGGGTCTAGGTGTGATGTGTATGTGAACTTGTATGTTTGTAAACGCACCCATGACACAGGAGAAAATCCGAGCATGGGGCAACGTTTTTTAGAAGTAAAAAAAAATACGAGTTGTTACATATTCTAACAAAAATAGAAGTTCATGCGCTTCAAATTGACCGAATCGGGTACCTAATTGCAAGTACGACTACCAAATAAGGAGTCAGTCGGCTAAATATTGTCGAATTTTTCAGTTGTCAGGCTATTTTTGAGAGGGGAGAATCATCCAATGACTGCTCCCACCTTGGTAAGGCGATTTATAGTGTGAGACTCTTACGGAATAAACACCACCCCGTTTCTCTCCTACTTCGAGCTGGAGCTCCAGCAACACTAACGTGTCGTCGTCGTCTGCGGCTGTTGTAAGGCTGGAGGATTACTACTGACCAAAAACCTCCCCGTTCTAACTCCTGCTTATTGTATTAGTGTTTGTATTGTGCTTGAAGGCTAGCCTTGCCTGCAACCCCGCCAAGCATCGGACCCTGGCGGGCCCCGTTTGTTATGACCTGATAAATCACAAATCACAGAATAAAAATAGAAAAATAATACAATTTTATTAGACCGTAGACTTTCTATATTTAGCAATAATATACAATTTACTGAGTATATGACGTAAGCTGCGCGTACGCCGCTGCACACAAGTTGTGTAACGATTGTATAGAAATAGTTCATTAAACTCCAACATGAGCCGACGATTGTATCGCCTTGTCAGTAATGTGCTAAGTTTACGAAAAAAAAATCTTAGAATTTTTTGAAAATGTCACCATTCTAGTATGATTAATTACATTAATCACCGCTCCTGGAAGTTCTCGTCTCACGTTTGTCGTAAGAGTCAACTAAGGGACTATACATTTGACAAAGGTCGGACAGCAGCGTTCTCTGATATACTTGTTAATAAAAAACGATTGTGTATGTTTAATTGGATATTATATTGACTACGCAACCTCACCGGTGACTTGTCTATGAACCCCTATCGTGCCTCGAAAGCAGTCGAGCTCGCTCCTCGAAATAATTACAAACGTGAATAATTTATTCATCGTAATTCCTAAATCGACAAATGTAGATCACATTTACTAATTTTTGGGCCCTGAATGTCGTAAATAACTAAATTAGAAATATTACAAGCATTCCCCTCCATAGGAGTAGGACAGTCCTGCTAAAGTTGCGGCAGCGGCCGCCTGCAAAACCTATCTATACTGACTAAGTTGTATATTTGTGTCTACCTATTTTATTGTCTTTTTTCTAGCTCTAGAATAACAAAGAACCGTGCGACCTCCATAGGTAACATGTTGTCCTGGTACTCAGATGTCGGTGGGGCTGCAGCGGCGCGTGCCGGCGCTGGACGAGACCGGCGGCGGCGTGCCAGCGGCGTGGAAGAGCGGCAACAGCGAGCCGCCATTCGCGTCGTTCGCGCCGCCAGCCGGCTCCCCGGCCGGGCCGGCGTTCGCCGCCTCGCCGGCTCCATCGACGCCCGGTCCGGGGTTTGCGGGCCCGCCATACGCGGCGCCCGGCCCCTTCGGCTCGCCCTCAGCGCGGCCGGGCTCCGGCGGCGGGTTTCCACCGGGGCCCCCGCAACAGCCACACTTCCCAGGGCCGGGGTTTGCGCCCCCGGGCTCTCCCTTCCACCCGCACCCCCCACATCCGCCTATGCCGCCACACCCGCATATGATGGCACCCTTGCCGCCGCCTGTTGACAGGTCAGTTCATCTTATCCGTACTAATTTTAAACTAGATCTTAAGTTGTCGCCATCGTAATATATTTCAAAGACTAATGTCTCATTGAGTTATTAAACAATAAGGGTTTTCTTTATCAAATTTACCAATATTGAGAAATAACTTTAAAACCCAGAAATTAAACTAACTGCCGGTGGATCACTGAGATAACACCAACTTCATTATCCATGGCTAGTACTTGTTTGACCAGATGCTTTAATGATGGAAGCTAAAGAAGTTTGTAAGAGTCGTAGTAGGTGCTCAATGACCTAGCAACCACCATGGATCGATGGCGTAAGAGTATGCATGTCCTTCCGGACTTTCAACAAAAGAGCGTAGGTACTCCTTGAAAGGCAGGCAACGCACTTGTACCTAACTTCTAGTGTTATGAATATCCAAGGGCAGCCTAAATTGCCAACCATCAGGTGATCCATCTGCCCCGTATCCCATAATAACATAAATATATATTTTATGACGTTAAACGATTTTTAAAACAATAGGCCACGGGCCGTAAAGTCTAGGAGCAGTCTGTATCTGTTATCAGGCGTCTTATCAGTAGCACAAAGTTCATACTTAAACGGTTCTCGATACTTTCCGATCTTACGCAAAAAGATTGCGTGGTCTGGTGATTTGATTTTGCTGTTTAAATAGTTATAATGTACGTTAATAGTTATTTAGTTTTTGTCCAGTGGTGGGGCAAGGGAGTTAAAACATAATTAGGGTTTGGGGTTTCTCATTCTATAACAGAGTAGATGACTTAATTTGTATTTTAATGCCCATCTGGTAGATTATTTTAAAACATTAGGCGAGTATTTTTTTATTTTCTTACAGAAACAAATACTTTCGACGATATATTGATTTGAATCGCGTGACGTCACTTCTAGGTACGTTTTATACGTAGGAATGACGTTTTAACTCCCACTCCTAAACTTTGTTTCGTTATATATATCTAAGTATTGTATACTTATACGATAAAATAAATGTCCCATATTTTTTCAATAGCTAACTGCCGGACTATATTTTTAATTTTCATATTCCGTCATCATTCCTATTCTCAACAGTTAGTATTTATATGGAATATGCACACTGCTGCCCCGTTGGCCGAAAGGTGCGACTGTTCGACTCCCAGGTCGGGCAAAGTTAATTGGGATTTTTTTGTTTAAATCTCAGTTTTAGCACGGAGTCTGAAATTGTGCCCTGTATATGGCAATAGGCTCACCCCCTATTACATGGGACTCATAACATTAATAGTGAAAAGTGGGTGTTACATTGTACAGTGGCATTAAGCGCCGTAACGTGCACCTCTGACTACCCCGTCCTGGACAAAAGGCGTGATGTTATGTGTGTGGAATATGCAGTGTTTGGCAATTTGCTTTCTGCCTCGCACAGCAAAACTGTGGAATGATCTGTCGTCCACGGTATTTCCAAACCGATACGACCTTCAAACCTTCAAGAAAAGAGCGTATTCCTTTTTAAAAGGTCGGCAACGCATCTGTCATTCCTCTGGTGTTGCGCGTGTCCATGGGCGGCGGTGATCGCTTACCATAAAGTGATCCGTCTGCTCGTTTGCTTCCTATTCCATAAGAAAATCTGTTCTGCCATCATAATAGGGCTTCTAAGTTTCATCATCATCATCAACAGCCTATAAATGCCCACTGCTGAGCAAAGCCTCTTCTCACACGGAGAAGGTTAGAGCATTAATCACCACGCTTGCTCAATGCGGGTTGGCGATTTCAAACTTATAATTAGAAATTATAAGTTCAGGTTTCCTCACGATGTTTTTCCTTCACCGTTTGTCAGTGGTGTCTAGATAATCTTAGAAAGTACATATAACTCGGAAAAAGTCACATTGGTACTTGCCGTTGGTAGGTTTCGAACCCGCACCCTCATGCATGAGAGATTCTAAGTTTAGTGGGCGCAAAAGAACTCCGGTTCCCATACCTTAGTCGGGCAAAAGCATTTTCAGAATCAACATTTTCTTGCACGAATGTCTTGTTTGCCAGTGGTCGTTTGGTCATATTCTAACTGCAATAGAAGTATCAGGTTCTGTTCTCAGCTTAGTTTGCGCTTAAACTGTCAAACACGGCGAGGACACCGGTGACCGCAACCTATTGTTCTATAATTGTGTCTATAAAACCGGTACTCGACGAGTTAAACTGTCAAACACCGAGCGGTCACCGGTGACCGCAACCTATTGTTCTTTAATTGTGTCTATAATGACGGTATTCAACAAGTTAAATTAAAATTCTCAGCGCACATAATTTTTAACATAATGTTGTGTAATTTATTCGCAATAGTTGTACTACTCTGTCTACCCCATTCACGGAATAAGTCATTAAGTTTAGCCTATCCATATTTTTATCAATACATACCTACTAGCTATATTATAAAAATCACAAAAAATACCTTCTTCACAAGAATAAAATAAATGGTCTGTGTGTGTGTGTTGCCCTCGCCGTGTACTCGTGTCGGTGTGTCCGTGTATGTGTGTGTGCGACTCGACTCGAGCCATAAAACTGTGTCTGTGTGCGTTCGAATAAATGTAGGTGAATGTAGCGTGTACTTATATTGAAGTACGGATAGTATAATATGTTTTAATTAATTAAATATTATTATTTTTTTTTGTTATGGAATTTTTTTGGTGACGTCTTCGTTGTTGGTCGATTTTTTTGTTGTGTTATTGTTTATGTTTGTAATTTTATTACATGTTTTCGTTGTTTTTGGTTTTTTTATATGAATATTTTAGTACAATCATTAGTTACTGTCTCTGTACTGAGTCAATCTGCATTTTTTTACTTGCATACTGAGTAACTTGACTGACTGTAACACCAGAGGCGTCGCCATTGTCAATCCATTCAGCAAACTATAGACGGTTTTCAATTTTATTTTGAATCTTAATTATTGTAGACGAAGGCACAAAAACGAACGTACTCCTTTTTAAAAGCCGTCAACGCACTTGAAGCTACTGTGGATCCTCGTTGATCACACTGTCTGCCTGGTTGCCTCTTATAAAAAAAATGATTGCTAAAATATCTTTAAAAAATGTAATGTTTACGTCAAAATCGGCTTAGCATTAAATATTTTAAGGTTTAATTCTATTAAAAAATAAAAAAAACAAACATCATAATATTTAATTTAAGAAATCAAAACCACATTTTCTATCTGTACTCGCCCACCCCGTACTTACGTACCTAAGTATAACATCGGTACCGCTGCGCCCAACACATCTTGATCCTCGCTTTACCGCGACTGGTATCATCGCGGGGTTCAAACAAAACTGGTCGCTGGTACATAGCTAGATTGAAACTCCACTTCGTTGGAGTGTCGTCTGCCGCGCTCCACGATCAAAATGATTCGAAATTCGAATGAATATTTTTTTTCGGTTGTATTTTTTTTTTTTTTTTTTTTTCTTTTTTTTAAGAGTATAATTTTTTTTAGTGAGGTGCTGTTTTTTTTTACTATATACATTTTTTGGTGTTTTTTTCTGTGGTTATTGTAGTAAGTAAAATATTATATAAATTATCACATATTTAACTAGCTTTAATAGTGTAGTATTTAAAATATTTCTCTTGAATATATTACGAGAATGTTAGGATAAAAAGTAGCTTAATGAATAATAATATTTCAGTTTTAAAATCAGACCGCAAAAAGAACATAGAACCTAATGTTCACACATTATAATATTAGTTTTTTTTTTTTTTTTTTTTTATACTTTATAGGTCGACGTTTGACCACCATCTCGCCTGATGGTAAGCGATGATGTGGCCGACGATGGAGCACGCCTACCTACAATAATAATAGTTACACAATAAGATAATTCAGTTTGATTCCCCAAAAACTCACAGAGATTTTAATCACTAAAAATAATATTTATCGTACACAGATTCAACCATTGCCAACTGTCTTAAATTGGCGTCCAATTTCTAGGTTACCCATAGATTGTTTATAAAAAGTTAAAAATACAAAACGTACATACCAACTCGAAGACGATGTATTTATCGACCTGTTATTTTTTTTCATAAAAAAAATGGTGAGCTAGCGTAACTTCGTAGGAATTGTTGACATGTGAGTCATGCGGAGCATTACGCTTTTTTGTTTAATGGAGAGAAGGCAGATCTATGATGAGAGAGGTACTTAAATGAAACAATTTTTTTTAACTAAAAATCTCGTGTTCCTCACCGTAGACACACTGAAAAAAGCTCTACTAGTTTCGAACCAGTATTTTCTCAGTATGTTCACTTGAGTAACCCGCGATTTTTAGTTAATTTAGTATGTCTCACGATAGTTATTATAAAAACTTTTTTTTTCTCAAATGTAGCTGTAATAGTAGACAAATCTTTAGTGAGTTGGGGATAAAATTAAATACTGTATTAATACATCGCCATGGGATTGAAATCGTAATGTCTATGTTCATATTGACGAAGGTGTAACTAAAAATGTAAAAACCAAAGCCTTCTTTAAACTAGAATCAGACTAGAAACAAAGTCAGTGGGTTATTTGCAATTTGTCTTTATCATATAACTGTTTGACGAGCAACTCGACTAGTTTCAAGTCATGCTAGAGGCTCATATTCATGAGCAGCGTTCCTTGCTTAAAATTAGTCGAGTGCCTCCTCAAACAATTATGTGAGTAAGCCTAAAACATATTAATTACAGAGGAAAAATTCCTCCAATAATCTCAAAATGTCATCCACCACCATTCTTAGGTCTCGCTATTACTGAAAGCGTCAAAAACCAAACCAAGAAATAAAACGCAATCAAAAGAGGTAGTTAGTGAGTCATTTTTGAAAATTTGTCTTTAGTCGGCGTTGCACCGATAAAGTCAGCCAGTGCAGGTGGCTCAAGGTGAGGGTAGCCATTTGTCAGGTGTGCCGTTCGCCTGTTCCTATTAAGAACGTCCCATCTAATAAAAAATGCATTATTTTTTGTCTAGCACTATGTTTTCTAGATTTTTGTCAATTTTATTTGAAATATGTTAAGTTATA